GGCAGCGCGGCGACTCGGGGCGGGCGCCGATCCGGGGCGGTCCGAGCCGGGCTTTGCCGGGCGCCGTCTGTCGGCGGCCGCCCGGCCTCCGGCGGGAGCCAATCAGGGGGCGGCTGCCCGCACGTGGAGCCGAGGGGACTCAAGAGCGCCGCGGCCGCCGCTCACTCCCCCCGTGACGGGCGTCCCGGCGGCACCGGGCAGCGCCGCGGGGGCGTCCGCGCCGCCGCTCCCGCCCCGGCCCCACGGCTCGGCCCCGCTGCCGCCGCCATGAGCGGCCCCTACCCGGAGGAGAGCTGCGCCGAGCGCCCCGAGTGCAAAAGTAAATCGCCAACTTTGCTGTCCTCCTACTGCATCGACAGCATCCTGGGCCGGCGGAGTCCCTGCAAGGTGCGGTTGCTCGGTACCGCGCCCACCCTGCCCGCCATCGCCGCCCGTCCCGACACCGACAAGGCCGCGCAAGGTAAGCCCCGCTGTCCCGTCCCGCTCGTCCTGTCCCTTTTCTCCGGCATCGGGCAGGGCCGGCTGTGTGTCCCCCATTCCCTGGACAGCCTGCGGCTCGGCTCCGGCCCCGCTCCCCGCCTGCACCGCACGGCCGGGCTCCGCCTCGGAGCTGCGGTCGCTGTTATCCCGTTACCGTGCTCGTTAGCGGCTGCTATGCTGCCAGGAAGCGCGGCCAGAGCCGTGCCCGGAATTCGTCACAATTCTTTCCCTGGGGGTCGGGTACCGGCGCTTTAAGCTGCTCTTGCTTTCGATATAGGTGTAATTTTTAAAGCCAAAATAAATCGGTGCAAGATGTGATCTGTGTGGGGGGAAAGCCTGGCCCGTTCGTATTAAAGCCTGTAACGGGTTTCGGCCAGCGAGCCGGGGCCGCGCCCGGCAGCAGCCGGGGCAGTGATAACGGGCCGCCGGCAGCCGCCGCCCCCGGCCCCAAGTTGGGAGCAGCCCCCTCCGGAGCCGCGGGGAGCCCGGATGGGCAGCTCCCATGGGCGGCCTCGCTCCCGCTTTTCCCGGCGTACACTGGCGGGCGGGATTGTTTCTTCCAAAGCCAAAACTAGACTTGGGGAGGGGGGGGTGGAAATTATAGGAGGGGGGAACAAAACAAAAAAAAAAGCCCGCGGAGGAATCCCGGGCCGCCGGGCGGGCGCAGTGGAACCAGCGCTGCCCCGCCATGTGGGATGTGGTTCGGCGCTGACCGCTGTCGGAAGCGTGCCGGCGCAGGCCAGGGGCTGCCAGAGCCCCCGCAGCCCGTCCCAGCCCTGAGCGGGGCGTCGGCCCGGGCTCAGCGGCCGGGAGGAATTCCTTCCCAGGCTGGGAGCAGCGGCGAGGGCCGGGGCCGGCCTGAGGGACGGGGTAGGAGGTGGAAAATGGTGCACGATGGATGGCTGAGGGACTGGACTCTTGCCCTGGGCTCAATTCGCGCAGATCCTACTGACTGTGTCTCTCCTTCTCTCTTCCTTCCTTTCTTTCTTTCCTCCGCACCCTTCTCCCCGCCACGCCTGCCCGCTCCGTCTGACTGCTGCGGCCGTCTACGCCACTTTCATGGCTCAGGGTCCCCTAAGGCCAGTCCCCCCTTCGAGCCGGCCGAGCTGCACCTTCCCCCCAAACTGCGCCGGCTTTACGGGCCGGGCGGGGGCCGGCTGCTGCCGCCGCGGGCGGCGGGGCCGCGGGGGGACCGGACGGAGGGGCGACCAGAGGGGGGCGCGGGCCCCGTGCCCGCTGCCGCCCCGTGGGACACGCTGAAGATCAGCCAGGCGCCCCAGGTCAGCATTAGCCGCAGTAAAAGCTACCGTGAAAACGCGCCTTTCGTGGCGCCGCCGCCCGCCCGGGACGAGCTGGGCAGCCCCGCCGCACACGTCGAGGAACGGCCGGGCCCTGCCGCGCCGGCCGCGGAGGAGGAAGAGGAGGAAGAGGACGAAGAGATGCTGGAGGAGGACGAGGACGAGGAGGAAGAGGAGCTGGAGGACGATGAGGAGGAGGAGCTGCTGGGCGAGGACGGCGGGGGGCTGCTGAAGGATGCCCGCCGGGGCGCCACCGCGGCCCCCGGGGCGGAGGGCGGGGATCTGTCCCCCAAGGAGGAGCTGCTGCTGCACCCCGAGGACGGCGAGGGCAAGGACGGCGAGGAGAGCGTCTGCCTCTCGGCCGGCAGCGACTCCGAGGAGGGGCTGCTCAAGAGGAAGCAGCGCCGCTATCGTACCACCTTCACTAGCTACCAGCTGGAGGAGCTGGAGAGGGCCTTCCAGAAAACCCACTACCCCGACGTCTTCACCAGGTACCGGCGCCGGGGCCCCGGCCGAGCGCGGAGTGAGAGAACCCCGGGGGGACGGGACGGGGCCGCAGTGTGCTGTACCCCGGCCTCCAAACCGCCCCGGCGGTGAATCCTGTTCGGGCACCCCGGGCTGGAGGAGACGGGGAACAGGAACGGGTTCAGGGGGGACCCAGGGCCGGCAGAGCCCGAGCAGGCCCGCCTGAAGGCCGCCGCCGGGCGCTATTTTTACCCGCTGCCCACCCTCCTCTGCCGCGGCCGCGCCGGGATCGGTTACGCGCTGCTCGTGGGCTGGAGCCCGGCCCGGGGAAGCCCCGGCAGCGGCAGAGATCAAAGCGCCTCTGCCTAAAAATACCGGCACGGCACGTCGGGGCCTCTTGGTGCCCGGAGTTGTCCCCAAGGAGCCCGGTGGGGCCCAGCCCGGCTCGGTCCACACTTTCGGGGACATTTTCCCGTTGAAAATGGGAGCTCGGGTGGTGGCGGGTCTGGCCAGCGGCTCCCTTGAGGGAAGCGCAAGCAAGGAGAGAGGCAGAGCCGCCAGCCCTCGCCTCGCGCTGACCGAAAATTGCAGCTCCCCACTCCCGCCTTAAGGCTAGAGGGGGATCGAGTCCCCAGAATCACACTTTTCGATCCCGAAGACCCTCCCGCTTTCTTGTTTGTTTTGCCCGGGGGTTGGGGTTCGGGGCACCGTTGGAACAGGAGTGTTCACGGGGGCATTTTTTTCCCCCTGGACCTTGGAGCCGCGCATCGCCCGCGGTGCTCACCTCGGGGCGCCGCCTGGCCCCGGGAGCGGCTGCCCGGGCTGTGAATGGACATACCGCAATTTTTTTCGTTGGTGTTTTTTTAACGGCTTTGGGTTTTGCTCCAGGGCTTTTCACTCCATGAGGGCGCGGGGCTCCGGCCGCAGCAGGGTCCCAGTTATGCTGGGAATGCTCCTCTCTTGGGACACGGAGCTGATGAGCCATTTTTCAGTGCCTTAGTGTTTTCCGATTTACCTTAATTGTGGCAATGTGAACCTCCGTGTGGAGCTTCCCGGCTGCCGTCCCCTACACGGCAGCTGCGGCTGGAACTGGCCGAATTTGGGGAGCGGCGGGGAGGGAAAGCTGGCGTCCCTGGCGTCCCGGAGCCGGGCCGAGGGCGGCGACAGGCGGTGTCCGCCCGCGGCCCGGCCCCGCTCGCCTCGGGCACCGGGATTTCGGGCGCGGGCGATTGGCGGTGCCCCGGGCTGACGGCGGCGTCTGTGTCTCCCCCAGGGAGGAGCTGGCCATGAGGCTCGATCTGACAGAAGCCCGAGTGCAGGTGAGTGGCAGCGGCGGGACCGGGACCGGCGCGTCCCTCGGCGGCGCCCAGGGGAAGGGTGGCCCGGGTGGCCTGGCCCTCCTCGGCGGCGCCCCCGGCCCCGCCAGGGCCGAGCCACCGGCTGGCGAATCCCCGTGTGATTAAAACTCGGGGCTCCCGTTTCGGTTGTTAGAAACCCGCTCGGCCGCAAGTCGGGTATTTGGCTGCCATCAAATCTCCAATCGGGCTTCATAAAAGCCCACTTAGTGCTAGAACAAACAGGGCCATTTGAAGGCGAAATGTTGTTTGATTTCCTCTCCGCCTGCACAAGGAGCTGGCTAATGCTATTTGATTTCCCATTTTTGATAGCAATAAGCCTGCATTGATCTAATAGTGAGTGAGTGCAATGCTATTAAAGGTGTTTGCCGCCCCATACCAGAGTGCATTTCCCAAGCCGGGTCTCATAACCAAAGAGACGATAAACATTGGGATGCCCTGATTGCCAACAGAAAACAGATGTCTCTGGGTTTGAAGCTGAGCAAATCACTTTACAGTTAAAATCGGGCGCTGATAAAGCATAATAAATTCCATATGGCTCATTTAATACACAACAGCTTCTTGCATTAGAGGGGCTAATGATGAGATTTGTCCCCTCCTTTCTGTTGACACATTTCTCCATTGTCAAACAGAGATGTGACAGCAAATCAGTATTTTCAGCTCAGGGGAACAAGTCGTGGGAAAGTTAAATAACTTTTTTTAACAGAAAGACACCCCCTTTCTTTCTCCTCTATTCATGGCAGAAGATGTAATTAAGTGAATATGAATTATGAGAGTCCCTTCGTTTACCTTTGGGTCTACTCAGACTTATTAATTCAATAAGGGGGAATTGTAGTGAGGACAGCTTGCTAATTGAGTTTTAGCGGGGAGAGACGCTCCCTCCGTGCCAGGCTGTTGCCTTCCACACGAGCACAATGCCTCTTCGTCGTGGGTACCCAGATAGGCGTGCGTGGAGATCAATTCCCGCTGAACAACTGTAGAGACACTCGCAGCGCTGCTGCCTTTCTGCCTTCCGCGAAGGAAGGGTCTCATACTGAGCTTACAAAGCCGAGCATAACAGGAAAACCTCTGCCCACACTTGCCCCAAAAGATTTACAAATGTCTGTCTCTCAAAGTCTCTGTCTGTAGGTGCGTGTGATGGCCCCACACTTGGTTATTAACGGAATATTTTATTTTCCTTTGAAATGGGGTTTATTTTCCTCTGCCTCGCTCCTGCTTTAAGCAGTTTTAGTTCACGATTTTTGCTTTGTGGGAGGGGTAAAAGGGAGAAAGGAGGCAGTGCTATGGCATCGAAACTAACTTTCATAAAATAGATCTTAAAAAGGGCAGCCTTGAAATCTATATTTGCTATTTTGGTTGCCTCACAAATTATTTCTTCGTTTCAGACATCAGTGAAATTACGACCTTTTTCCCTTTCTTTAAATCGGAAAGGGGAAAAAAAGTCTGCGATCCCCAAACCATATAATTTGTAAATATGCCCTTTAACGAAAAAAAAAAAAAAAAAAAAAAAAAAAAGTCGCGGTGTGGGTGTGAGTGCGGAATAATTCCCGCGTAGTCCTCTTGGGAAATCGTACTGCCGCTGCTCCAGCGCAGCGGGAGCCGCCTCCCGCTCCGCTATCTGCCCGCACCGCCGACCTGCCGCAGCGGTGTGCGGGGGTGCAGAACCGCTGCGCCCCTCCGGGATCCAGGGCCCGCCGCAGGCCCGGGGTGTCACGGCAAGCCGCGTGTCGCCCCCGGCGTGGGCCGGCACAGCCCGGGCGCGGCACCGACACACGTGGCCCCCGCGGGCCGGCCCCTTTTGGGGCGATCCCGCTTCGGGGGCGGCGGAGGAGCGGTGGCCGTCGGGCCGGTGCGGGGCTCCTGAGGGCTCGCTGCTCCGGGGGCGCGGGCTGGCGTATTAAAACCGGTTTTTCTTTTGGCTTTCAGGTATGGTTCCAGAACCGTAGGGCTAAGTGGCGGAAGAGGGAAAAGGCTGGGGCTCAGACACACCCCCCAGGTTTGCCTTTCCCTGGTCCCCTGTCAGCAACTCACCCCCTCAGTCCATACCTTGATGCTAGTCCTTTCCCTCCTCATCACCCAGCTCTAGACTCCGCCTGGACCGCCGCCGCCGCCGCGGCCGCCGCCTTCCCCAGCCTGCCGCCGCCGCCCCCCGGCTCCGCGGCGCTGCCCCCCGGCGGGACCCCGCTCGGCCTCGGCACCTTCCTGGGCGCGGCCGTGTTCCGCCACCCCGCCTTCATCAGCCCCGCCTTCGGCAGGTACCGCCCGCCCCCCGACCGCGCCGCGCTGTCCTGGGCGGGGGCGCGCGGGGATCGCGGCCCACGCGGGACCCGCCGCGCGCGGCCGCCCCGGCGTTCGAACTTGGAGCGGCTCGCAGCCGGCGCCGATTGGGCGCCGCGCGGGTCACGTGCTTCCGCCGCGGCCGCTCATTGGGCGGGGGCGCCTCCCCCGCTCCCCCCCGCGCGGCCGCGGGTTCCCCGTGGGGGCGGCCGGGCCGCGGGGCAGGGACGGGGCAGGGCCCCGCGGGACCGGCCCGCGGAAAGCCGTGCTCCCACGCAGAAACGAAACCCTCGCGTGGGTTTCCCTACGTGCACGCGTGGCCTCTGCTTCGCTCGGGGCGGGGGTTGCCGGTGCTTGGCCAGTTGGGATGAACAGAAGCCGCGAGATCCCGGGTGCCGTGAGCCGCTCCGGCCGCGGGGGGACCGTCACGGGCGGATTTTTAGCCGGGGGCATGCGTGGGGCTGAGCAGCTTGCTGAGGTTCGCGTCGGGACGGCGCTGCTCGCGGGGCCGGGGCGGGCAGCTCCGGGTAACGGGAGCGAGCGCTGCCCGCCCGGGACCGGGGGCTTCCCCCGCGCATCCCCGCCGGCTGCAGCCCCCGGCCCCTGCCGCCCTGCCTGTGGCAAGTCGGGGAGGACCAAGCTCAGCGATTTTTCCTCTTTTTTTCGCCCCCCGAAAAAATCTTTTGCCTGCCGGGCGTCGGGTCTTTCCAGCGAGGCTCTGTCCCCTCGCGTCCGCGCTTGGTGGGAAGGAGGCGAGCGGGGCCGTGCGGGTCCCCGGCGCGGCGGTGACGGCGGTCTGTGCTTCCCTTGCAGGCTCTTTTCCACCATGTCCCCCCTGGGCAGCGCCTCCAGCGCCGCGGCCCTGCTGCGGCAGCCGGCGCCGGCCGCCGAGGGCGCGGTGGGCTCGGCGGGGCTGGGGGACCCGGCCAGTGCCGCCGCCGACCGGCGGGCGTCCAGCATCGCCGCCCTGCGGCTGAAGGCCAAGGAACACGCGGCCCAGCTCACCCAGCTCAACATCCTCCCCGGGAACGGCACGGGGAAAGAGGTGTGCTAAGGCACGGCTGCCGTCCGCGGGGAGCGGGTTAGGGTTTTTTTAGGGGGGAGAGAAAAAAAAGAGGGAGAGAAGAGGAGAGTAAATAGGCTAATCAATAAAGGTCACCTCAGACAGCATGAATCAAGACCAAACGGGGGGAAAAATAATAATGATTTTTTTTAAAAAAGAGGACCAGCAGCTGAGACTGTAGTAGGTCCTCAAGTTAGGAACTTGGAGAAAGTGAATGCCTCTCGCATCAGCCCTCACACGAGTGAAACGACACTTAAAACCTCCTGAATAAGTAACTCCTTGGCTGGTACATTTCTTAAATGTACGATGTGTCCATTTCCTCTATGAACATAACGGGGGGAAAAGTAAAAAAAAAAAGAAAAAAAAAGAAAAAAAAAAGAAAAAAAACCCTAATAAAAGTTACTATATATTAGCGTTTCGTACACTAAATATTTTTCCTTCTGTTTATCTGGCAAGAAAAAAAAAAAAGAAATAGAATTGTAATCAAGAAAGTGAAACAAAAAACAATAGATAAGCTAAGAGAGGGGGAAAGCTACCCACATCTTCTTAAAATAGCATCCTAGGATGTTAAGTTGGTCAGTTAGAAGCGCTGGAGAACTATTTTACATGTTGCAACGAGCTGCATATGCTAACCAAGGATGCTGACAGTGCAAACTGAAAGTAAATTTGATGCTGTAAGATAACCAGTGCACTTAGGGGAAAGGGTATATCTTTTTCTTGTTATATTCTTTATCACTACACCAACCAAGGTTTTTATATCAAACCAAAGCGAAATACACTGCTAGAATATGGACTGTTTAAGTCACTAAACTGTGATTATTAATTCTGTACATACCATTGTTATAAAAAAAGAACAGAGCTTTGTATATTTGAAAAGTTATAAAACAATTGCACTCAGTGTAGTGTTGTAAAAGTTTGTCATTCTGTAGATTCTTACTGTGTTGTAGATATAATAGGGTTCCTAGACAAATATTTATGTACAAACTCTTTATTTAACTTATTAACTGTAGAGGTTTCTGAAACCCTCAAGAGGCGATGGTACAGTACTTTTTCGTGTAATGTCGTTATTGTTAACACTTTTCCTTGCTATCCGGTGGAGAAGTGCCACGTTCAGAAAATAAACAAAAATATATGTTTAACAAAAAAAAAAAAATTGCGGGGGCTGCGGGGCCACCTGCGCCGCGCTGCCGGGGCCGGGGGCGGCCGGGGCTGAGCCCCGCCAGCCCCAGCGCCGAGGAGCCCCCGCGGGTCTGCGTGGGCGCGGGGCTCGGCTGGGGCGGCGGCCGGAGCTCGGTGCCGGCAGCCCCGTTCGCGAGGGGACCTGCGGATCGCGGGGTCGGCTGCGGCACCCACGCCGTACCTGTCCGCGCTGTGCCGCGGGCAGCGGGCCGTGTCCCGGGGCGCTCGGGGTGCCCGGTGCCGGCGGTGCCGCTCCGCGCGGAGCCGCCCCACGCTGCCCCGGCACGGGCGGCCCCAGGCTCCGCCGCTGCCGAAAGTCGGGAATGGGGGAGAAAATCTGCAATTTTGGGGAACGCTTGGCCGCCCCCGCACCTTTGGGGTTACAAAAGTTTCTCTGTACCTGCCCCTTCGTTCTCCTAAAGGTGAACTTCCGTTTCTTCCCTCTTCCTTTATTACTCCCCGGGTCGTTTTCTTCCTCGTCTTTTTTTTTTTTTTTTTCCTTTCCCTCTTCTCCTCCCACTCAAACTTTTTTTTTCAGCTTTCAGTAGACAACGTCTGTTGGGTCGGGTTTTTTGTTTTTGTTTTTGGGTTTTTTTTGGGTTTTGGTTTTTTTTTTCGACCGCAGCGGTCCCGTCTGCTTCTACCACGGAGCAGGGGCCGAAATGCGGGCGCCCCCCGGCCGCACTCCCCGCGGTCCTTCCCCGGCCGTGATGAGTCCTGGTCCCCCCGACCAAGCCCCGGGCCCCGGACGGGCTGTCGGAGAGCCGGGGTGTGGGGTGCTTTTTTTGGGTGACTTGGTCCAATCTCGGCAGCGCTCCTCATCGTCGGGCCGGGGCCGGAGAAGAGCCCAAGGGCACCGAGGGGGCCCGGCCCGGCGGGCGGCTCCGCGGGGCGACCCCGGCACCGGGAGGCAGCGGCCGGGAAGCGCCGCTGGAGCGAGCACCGCGCGTGGGAGCCCGCCGCGACCCTTCCCCGCAGCTCCCCCTCCACTCACGGCATTTCATATCCCACACCCCCAACCCAGCCCGCCCCCAGCCGTATTTTTGAGCTCTAAAACCCACCATAGGCGCGGAAAAAAAAAATTATGGGAAAAATAAGGCTTGTTCCTTGGACGTTATTAACAGTGCAGCCTGAAATATACATTTTTGCCTCAAAGAAAAGGGAATCATTATCAAGCCATTAGGCATTAAGAAATGTCATTCAGTCATTTTTATTCATTCTGCTGAAATCTTCGTAAAAGCCCGAATCATACTTCTGCAAGCAGCAATTTTGTTAATCCAGGGGGTTATTACTCTGGTCTCTTATTAGGATCTATACTGCTGCCAAGCAATCCTATAACCTTCTCAAAAGAAGTTTACCTCCGTGTTATAAAACCAGTAGTGGTATTTATACTGTGCAATAATTAGTGTATTACCTGAATCCACTAACAGGTTCATTTTATCTCCGCACAAAACCCCTAGTCTGCTTATAGAAAGCTTGTGCCTCCTTTGGTGCTGTTAAAGTGGTGAAAGAGTGAATGAAGGCTGGTAGCACTTTCTCCTTTCGCCGTGCCTTAATTCCCATCTCTTTTTGCTCTCATCCAATTAGTGCAGTGTATTAAGCGGTTTATCATCTCATAGTCAGCTATTGAGAGAAACAAGGCGAACACTTTGCAATAGAGCCTGCTCTCCTTTGACACCCTCAGGTACTTACATATTCCACTGTGCTATGAATAATAGAGGAAGAATAGAGCGCTAATTCCCTCATCAAAGAATGCCTTGTCTGCTGCTTTGCTCAACAACACCATTCTGATCAAAAGAAAAGCAATAAAGCTTAGCATAACAAAACGAAACCTACTTATTAGCTTAGTGGTTAAATTAATGCAGAGCCGCTGCTATTCAAAACCAAGGTTTGAAAACAGCCTCCAACAACCTGATAATGCTGCCTTCGGGATGAAGGAATTTTAATCTGAAATTTGAAGCTGGCACAGATGAGTTAATCTATTAAACTGCTATAAGGAGGGTGCGGGAGAACTATTCAATTAAGGCACATTTAAGGTGCCCTGCAGAAGACGGGGATGGATTCGAAGGGGAAGATGTGCTCCGCTTCGGCCTTAGAAAACTGCCTTTGGCGGCGAAAAGAGGGATTTTGGCACAGCAGCAACCGTGTTTGCGGATGGGAATTCTTTTTCATATCGCATATGTCATCAGCGAAACCTGGCCACCGGCTCCATATATCAACACTCCTCTTCCCCAACTGCAAATAAATACAAATAAACACGAACCTTAATTTTAACAGCACGGGGTGGGGGAGGGGGATATGAGGAGGAAAAGGAAGGGAAGGCGATTCAGGCCAGACCAGGCTCAGAATGCAAACCTCGGAACTTCAGTTTTCCCAAATTATTTACAGCTCAGCGTTTATCAGCTCCATTTAATATTAAATGCTATAAAGATGATTTTGCGTTTCCCAGCCTTTCTGAGGGGCCAAGACGAGGCACGGTGCCCAGAGCTGATTAGAGAGGGAGAGGGGAGGGGGAAAAAAAAATCCGGTTTACTCCTTGCCAAGACTTCAGCTCTGATCTGACCAGCTTTGCTGAGAGGAATCAAAAAAAGCCTCCATTCGGGGTAAAAGCCCTCATTTCCCACCCCCAACCCCCCCGGGCTGTGGCCGGCCGGGGTGGCGGGGGCTCCGGGGCTGTGCCACTCACGGCTCCTCCGCCTCGGTGTGCGGGGGGAACAGCCCCTCGCAGGGCCACTCTGTGCTGCTGCACCCTACACAGTCATTCCACAACACTCTCATTTAATCTAAACATCCCTAAACTTGCAAATTAACAGGCTCTTCAGCTGTAATTATACAGATACATACAAGTGCCACAGGGTCAGGTTACGCCATATCTATCCATTTTATTTGTATACCTAACGTTTGGAGGAGAAGGTCACACTTTTCACTTTCCTAAGGCATTCTACCCAGTAGAATCAGTATGTATCAGTAATATTTTCATAATCCTAATTGAGCTGGACACAAAAAATCTAAAAATCCCTGCATGGAATTACAAGAAACCAGGATCTTTTGAAGTTCTGCAACTTCAGTACAGCATCTTGGCAACAACACCTTCTTTCCAAGACAAGACTCCAAATAAAGTCTGTTTTACAAGATTAACCCAACTAAACATATTGGGAAGGATCGACAGCTCACCAGGGTGGGACAACACCTGCACAACACCAGAGATGCATAGATTCCATTTCTCACTGTAGTGATTCCATGTGAGCAGAAATGAAAGGGTTTAGTTCCAAAAGTTGCTAGGAAGATGACTGTGTATTTAGGCATATTCAAACTGACACTACCCATACTGACACACAGCTTCTCCCAAATGCCACTCTGGGGACAAATGAATGTCATAAAATACTCTGAACACAAACAGACACATGAATCCCTACAGTGCCTAACATGTTCATACTGATCCTCTTACTTTTTCCTCAAGCTCCCTGTGTTAATGGCTGTTCATCCTAAAAACAGACACAAAAGCAATTCTGTAAGACCAGCAGAAGTCCAGAGCAATAGGACCTAGCATGGACTATTTTCAACCATCAGATCATAGAATCAAACTCTCTTTTACTAGAAAACTTTATTTTCCTTCGAGTGTGAAAAAAACTTTACATTTTACACTGTTAAAGATTTAAAAGCAATTTTTATAACCTTACATTAATATATCACATTGCAAACTAAACAGTGAACAGAGTACAACAATATTTTGTGTACAAAAGCATATACCCAAATTTATTCTTGTCATATCTGCTTGTCATTTTATTAGTAGTAAATGAAAAATACAATTTGTTTGTAAAAACTATAAAATCTCCAACACAGTAATTATTACAGAACAGTAACTATAATTTGCTGCTTTCCATTCCCCTGTTATTGGTTACAATGCCATCCCAAAAATATTTTTCTCTATCGATTGCTTACATTCAAACACTTTGAAATGAAACACATTTATATCCTTTGCATGAGTGAAATGGGTTTTGTTCATGTGCATGGCTTTACATCCACACAGAAATTTTCAACCTGGCAAAATGCTATGCTTAAAGATGCTTGGAAAGGCTCCTAATAAAAAGATGGTCCCTATTTTTAGCACCTCCAGGTTTCAGTCGTTCTTTAATGAATTTCAAAGTAAAGCGTCCCTACCTCTGTTCAGAAGGTAATAGGACATTTAAATGCATTTAGGTTTAGTATTGTTTTTAATTGGTATGTTTATGATCAGGAAGAAGATAAACCGTGAAAAGGCAAAACATTAGTGCTCCTACTGAGACCTCCACTAACCTCTCTTCCTGAGAGCACCTCTAGTAAATACCCTGGAGCAAAGTCTAGGATCACTTACATTCCAGCAACTCTCACTGGGAATTATCCAATTAAAGCAGCAATTCCCCCACCCCCTTTTCCCTCATAGGTCTAAATACACAACAAAAAATATTGCAAAAATCAACTACTCCATATTTTAATAACCCTGGTTTCTCAATAAAGAAAAAAAAAAGGAAGATAAAAACACCTTGAATACTTCATATCCACGAGAATCATACATCCTGTTTTCATCTCCCATTTTTTCTCCTCCAAAGAGACAAGATTATTAAAACATCTTTGTACATACAGAAATAGAGTATTGCTGAAGAGATCATTACTGATAAACAAGGGACTAGCCTCCCTCCATTTTTAATCAATCACTGTCATTCATTACTGGACTCTCCCACAGATCTATCTTCCTATACTGACGCTGAAGAGTTTGCCAAGGTTCACTTCTGAGTAGCCACTCATGGCCAGGCATTTGTCTACGGTGCTCTTCAGTCTTTTGTAGGCCTCAGAGACTTCCCTCCTGAGTGGCTTCTTCTTCAAATAC